TATATATATATATATATGTATAGCTTGCTTTCTATAGTATACTATTTCGGTTAAAGGAGGCTAAAATTAGGTAGTAAAAAATCAGGTTAAAACGTATGATATTAGTTTTCTGTAATGGCAATGATCGCATATGATATCAAGGATATCAATCATAATGTGATTCGCGTAGCGCTGTTTATGTATGTATATAAGCAACGTTTAATATTCGTGTAAACGTTCAAACGTCTTTAAATCAATCGAAAGAGAATGCATGGATAGATTAATCTTGTACAAGTTTATCTGAGATTCTGACCTACGAAAATTGTTCAAAATATGATACAGAATTAATATATGAGATTTTATCACATTTTTTATTTAGTTTTACATGGTTAAATGGAAAATTACCATGGGTTGAAGGTTGTCAACCATTGGTAGTTGTCCATTCGTGTACTTACAGTGAAATTGAATATAGATATAATATACATAAAACAGTCATATATTGAGCACTGTGAGTTGCATCCCTTTCTCGACTCAACTTTAGTTTCAATTACGCGGATATACAGTTGAACTCGAGAATAAAAAAAGAAACTTATAAAAATACATTGGTATCCTTGTTACATCAGTGGCACAAAGGGAGGTTCCCTTTGTGCTTCTGATGTAATAAGGATGTGAGCTCATAGCATAAATCACTAGGTACTGATACTACTATAAGTAGTGATTTATGCTATTAGTGCATACCTTTAGGTATAAAGTCTCGAGATATACGTATGTAATTTATATTACACATAGGTACGATTTAGAGTAATGACGTCAATAATGTCATTAATTTCAATTTTAGCCAAAAACCAATTTCGAATATTAATAATATTCAATTCTCATATCAACTTTGCAGTCCTATTTTATCCGGTTAATAAGTTTATATCGTAATAATCATACGTAACACCAAAAACAACAACACTTACACAATTCTCCTTTCATATCGGCCATGTATAAAGTTTATAGAGTATTACTCTATAAACTACTTTATACATGTTCTCTATTATTATTAAATAATAGAGAATAATTTACACAGCAGTCTAGTCCCAAACTAAGCAGATACTAATCAACTGAGATTAATACTTAAAACACATTTTTTTTAATTTTTAAATAAATAATATACATAGAAAACACACAAACTGGAACCCCTAACCTTGAACACCGGGGCCGTAATATCATTAAAATACTAATTATCCACAGGAAGAATAAAATATTTCAAACCTTTATACCTTTAAGAGAATTAAAATGTAACATTGCATGTATCAACGTGTGCGTATTTCTACGAATAATTGGAGTAGTATCCTCAATGAAAGTTTACCTACTTACCAAAATCCAACAGAAAATTTAATACATTTACGTAGGTATATAATGGAATTGTTCAATTAACTTCCCCATTCTCATGAAACTCATTTAGAAGCAAAGGAAACCCTACATTTTCTATTTGCAACATTACTTTGCTCTACGTTGTATATATGGTATGTTGGTAGCTATATTTAATGTTCACGTAATCAATGCAGTCTCATTTGGAAATCAATAGGATTGTGACGAGATAAAAATTATATTGGTCAGTTGATAACGTAGATAGCAAGGTCTATATAAGCTATACTAACCTACCAACTGTTACGTAACTTTTATCATAGTCCTAATATTATATTAACTTAATCAATATTATATACCTATTTATAAAGGAGATGGATATAAAGTGCAATAGATAATCAAATAAAATAGTACTTTACAATAAAAGAATTTATCGCACTTCAAAATTACTAATAATAATACTAAATAGTCTGAACATTTCACACAGCGCCATCTAGTCTCAAGACATCAGTGTGTTAAGGTGTATTTGACAACCTTTGTACATAGTTTTATATATACTTTATGTAAATGTATACAATATACATAGAAAACATCTAGACCAGTCATAGTCACGAATATAAATGATTGCATCTTGCATGTAATTGAACCGGCGACCATTGGAAGGTAGGCAGTATGCTAAAACTAAACACAAGATGAGGTTGAGGTGTCTTTTTCAAAATGAAAATATTTTATATTTCGCAGTTTTCCTGCTCTTCATTATCATCACTACATAGTATAAAACAAAGACGCTGTTGCTGTCTGGCCGTCACTATGTATGCTTAAATATTTTAAACTACGCAACGGATTTTGAAGCCGCGGTTGTTTTAGTAAATAGAGTGATTCAAAAGGAAGGTTCATATATAATAATAATAATAATATTAATCTCAGGACAATTCACACAGAGCCATCTAGACCCAAGTTAAGCTAGCTAGAGCTTGTGTTATAGGTACTAGATAACTGATACATAGATTTTTTTTTGTAAATACATTCATATTATACATAGAAAACACCCAAGCCGATACAAACAATCATACTCATGAATACAAATGTTTGTGCCGTGCGAGGAATCGAACCCGCGACCATCGGTCGTAAAGCGGTGTGCTTGACCGTTAGACCACCGAGGTCGTCGGTATATATGTATATAACCGACGACGGTCGATCGGTCGTTATATATATATAATATGTGTACACCCGGGCGAAGCCGGGGCTAGTAGTGATATATAAACGTCTGTTGTTACAAATGTTTGATGCCATTTATAATGATAGCCATATTTTAAACAATAAAAATAATGAAACCACTCGAATTAAACAAATCGACAGATCGTATAAACATTACTATACGTGTATTGATAAAAAAGTACCAAATGGTTTGGATACTATCATTTATTAAACGCAAAAGCAAGATTGTGTAATGATGCACAGTCACTACTTCACATCATCTACCTACTGAGAGACCAAAAAAACTTGTCTATTTCTTTATTTGTTCATTTTATGGCTCACATAACTGACAGCAAATATGAGTACAAATTTAATAGAACATAAACATAGATCTTTACAGTGAGTGATAATAAACTACATAAATTTAGAACATAAGAAAACTTCTGTAAACAGGCAACTTGCTTGAAGTGTGTATTCTTGCTTTAATTAATAGATATATTGGCTGTTAGTAATATTACTGGATACAGGTACAAAATACCTCGGGAATAGCAAAACATGAAAGACACCACAATAATCAAGTAATATTATAATCGACCCCACCATTTTTTAGACATTTTCGTATTCTCACTTTCTAGGCCGCCAGCTTGTTTATAATTCAAATCATAAAAACACTTATGTAATTGTTTTAAATTTATAAACAATAGATCAAAACAATATTATATTTAGTACCTACATTTATTGAATTGATGGTTACGTTACCATTGTATTCAAATATAGATAGGCAGTTAAGAAAAGGTACTCACATAAAAATACTGCACGTTATAGGTTTTCAAACTTGCAACATAAGAACATCTACCAATTTTCAAAACCTATTTATTTTTAATATTCCTGAAGAATTAATTTCATGGTGCACTAGTAATTTTCTGTATCTATAGTCCAAGTTTTCTGCATCAACATAAATATAAATCAGTTGCAAAATTTTGAAGCTAGATTCATGTGCATTTCGTTCTATGCATAATTTATTTGTCGGCAATTGTTTAGTCTACAAAAAAATTGATTTTGTTATGAAGATAGTAAACTTCGGAACCACTGCACAGATTTCAAGATCTTTTTTTTTTATTAATTCAGTTTATTTCAGATATTCTGGATATGGACTAGGTTATAAGAGTACTAAATAGTGATGTTTTTTATGAATTTAGATTAATACAGAAAGGCACATTATTCTGGAAACATAGTAGGATATAAGCGTATTACAAAGTAATGAACACCAGGGTAGATCAGCAGTTACTCATAATATTGAACATTGTTTTTAATATTTTCGCAGCTCTTAGAACGTAATAAAAAAGTATTGATAGGACTTAATGATACCAGTACGTATTGTGGTAGCTATTAAAAATATCTCCACCCAAATACGATATCATATTATTGGGCACTCTCGTAACGACTATAAACTGTTATCTCGATGATTTACTTCACACTTGTAGGTACTAATTACAAAACTTTCAACGTTCATTTGTCAGATTTAAATCATAATTTTTTTATGGAGAATGTAGCTGTATGTAGCTGTCTTCTCTGAGAATAATGAATTACTGTTCGGACCGTGTGGAGATATATGAAGATATGAATTACTGTTCTGATACAGAAGAAGTCTATTATGTATATTGACCTAGGTACTCAGTGACTTTCATCAAATCAACTAGATACCTTTCTTGGAAATTGAACAATTGCGTCATAGTTAAACGGTTTTTTTATTGATATCATATTGTTATTATCAATTAAGAATGCTTATTTATATTTAGGCATATGATATTTACTGCTGTGCTGCTTGATGTTGACGACATGTGTTTAATTTACAGATATGTGAAGTGATTCATATATAAAAATAGATATGTTGCATGTTTGTGACAAACAAATTACAGTAATTGTCACTTTGAACAACTAAATATACTTATAAAATCATATAGGAAAGTATAAGTAAGATACCAATCTCTTTTCATATGTACGACACAATATATTTCTACTGAAAAAAAACTAATAACCACTAAATTAATCAATAAACATTCTTGTCAATCGTAACCTAAGTCTTAGAAAATTGTATTGCGTAGTTTAATTTTGTTATTCTCTGTACATTACCAATATTACATACCTCATTCTGTAAACATACTTTCCATAATTTGTAACACTCACGAAATATGTATATTATGAATGGAATTAAAAATTGACGCATAAGAACATCTGTTCAGATAGTGGAAACCTCTGAATTAAAGTCCATTGATGTCTCGCGTTCCTACATTTATGATCAAACATATTTTGTTTCACAATACGACCCTAGTATACATATTCCATTCCAGTTTGGTAAATCACGTAACGCATTTTATACATATTAAGTTTATTATGGGGTATTATTGAGCAACTAATAATATTTAGGTGTCGGCTTTACAAAATGTAGATAATAATGTAGTTATACTCACATATGGCAGTTTTGGTTCGAACATTTCTAGAGTAGCACATCGGATACAGGATAGCCCAGTAACGGTCTACTGACACGGCCACCAAGCAGAAAATGCTGATTGTACATAACATCACCAATAACGACACAGTAAAGAGACAAGCGTGAAGGTTCCTGGGGAGACCTACGGACGCCAGAATCGCGAACGGAATCCCAAATAACCCTACTAGGAAATCAGCTGTTGCCAGAGATACAATGTAATAGTTAGTACGCCGTCGCAAGCGCCTGTCGCGACGGAACACATAAATAACCATAGCGTTGCCCACGACAGCCACAAGTGCCACTAAAATTTCAAGAGTTGTATAGGTCGCGTGAAGTTCCGTTGTCGGGGTCCTATGGGGTCCAGGATCAGACGTAGTCGTCTCTATCTCTATCTCTTCAGCCATAACGATTACCAAAATTGTCTATACACTAGTATTTTTAACCCATAATTACACACATTGCAGTTTATAACTCATAGTTACAATAACTTTAATTTGCATTTACGTCGGGGAAGACGTTTTTGGTTTATTTACACGGATTAAAACATACATTGTTACATTTAAAAATAAACTTATGGAGATGATTAGTTATTGTTTTGAGTTGATTTTTTTTAAATTCACGATCAGCAACAGAGGTATGGGTCAATCAGAGTACAGTCGAGATTGACCCTCTCGCGAGGCGCGCTTCCCATCACTGCGGGCCTGCGGGCGCGATTTGGCGCGAACGCCAGTTTGACATCGTCGGGACGCACACCCTACGCCGACGCGACACGCACGAAACACTTGTTGCGGCCGCGAACGCGAACATTGCGCTGCCCTTGAAAATGGAATCAAGCTCACGCCATAGATATACATTCAGACTAACTATTTGTTGAACTTAACCAACCTGAAACTTTATTATACACGCGTTATTAGTAACTTAATTTGATGCAGAAGCGTAGCGTGCCTTGGCGGGGCCCCGTATAAATTTTTTTTAAAGGCCCTTACGAAGGGTAAAGATTTCGGCTTTACCCTTTGCGAGGTCCTTCGTGAAAGTGTGTGATGCGAATGATCTGCCAGTTTTTCCAAAATTTTTACATTCAATTCAAATTAAGTATACAAAAAAAGAAATTGCCTCTGTAATTTGTGAAATAAATAAAATTGGGAAGTTAAATTGTATTTACGCACGTTGGGGCCCCGTTTAATTGATAGGGCAGATACGGCGGTAGCTACGTCCCTGATTTGATGGTAAAGAAATGTACTAGAGTGACGACGACCCGGTGCAGAGCAAAACAATGTAAAGCCATCCCAACTGTTTAAAGCTACGACCCGAGAATCCCCTAGAAGCTATTTTGGTAAATAACTGACAAAACTGGTGACTTCATCCTCATTCTATCGCCAGCGTGTAGATATCGTTACTGCAGACAGGTACAGAAATCCGTCATCTATAAAAAAGATAAATGCCTAATCAATAAAAATTTTGTATTACATTTTCAAAATAGGTGGTAAATATACTATACATTCTTTCAATGTATTTTATAAGATTTTTGAATTATGTCATAAATTTAATACCTCCGCATTAGTACAGCAAAATAATTATTTAAAAAATACGTATATATAGCGGTATGTATATATATACTAGAGACAAAAGTTTCATAATATATATATAATAATAATAAAATTGTGGACCACAAACGAATAGCCAACATTCGGGCAGGACAACATAGGAATAGAAATATCAAAGTTCTTATCAGAAAAGTCGCGCGTGCGAAGCTGCTGTCGATACAAATTAAACAATGTAAATTAATATTTACACTATGCGCATTACGCATCCACGTGACAAATTTAAAATAAATAGTTGACAATTGGCTAGTAGGTATGTGTATATATTTTTTACAAACTAAACTGTAAACTTACAAAGTGTAATAGACTAACTCAAAATAATTTATTCATGTAGGCCTCGGCCTCGTGTGCCTACGTCTCAATTTTTAAGATCATAACTTTAAGTATTAACGCAAGTTTTTTAGTGTTTCTATAACTTGCTGTTTTCGCGACTTCGTCCGCGTAATGTAACTTTATTTTTCTACAGTAAAATATTTTTTTTAATAAAAGTAGCCTAAGTTATTCCTTATTACATCAGGTACCTGTCAATAAAGGTCCCGTCAAAATCGGTTCAGCCATTTCAGAGATAACCCGAACAGACAGACAAAAATTGAAAAAAATATTATTTTGGTGAAATTTATATTTATATGCATGTAGTAAAAACAGTTATTTCAATATTACAAACAGACACTCTAATTTTATTTATATGTATAGATGTATAGATGTATAGATTGGTATGTGTATCTTCTTAACAATTTTTAGCAATTATGATATGACTTCTATTAAATATTCCAAAAAAATACTTACATAAATTTTCTGTGTAATGTAGTATTTAAAATACCGTCACTCCTTCTGAATCAAAAAATGGCGTAATTACTTGATGGAACAAAGCAAAATTTATCTAACAAGCATCCTGGTCCCGTAAATAATAAGTACCTACCTATTTTTTTTATTAGATGATAATGCATCATTATGCACCCGTCTGCGCCAGCGATTTACACGGGCGGGTCGCCAGTACAAGATGATAAAATGAACACTTTGAATGAACAATTAGCCCATTGTGACAAAATCACCAGAAATTTATCATAATGGTTTCTAGGGGTAACCAGGTGGAAGGAAACCGGACATGGTATATTACTAGCGATGAAGATAACAGTCTACATTACTAACAATACCCATCCCACCCGAGTCCCGAGGCACCAAATAGAGGATAATAAAATGAACATGAGGTCAGGTCAGTTACTCCATCATGACAAATTCACCAGGAATTCATCATCACATCATCTTCTGATAGTCGCGGGTTCGATTCATATAAAATGAATGAATTTTTATTTTGGATCTCAAAAAAATAAAATGCATGCATAATTATTAAAGATTTATATTGCCAGTACAGAAAGTAATTTATATTCATAGTTAGTCCTTGAATTATTTTTTTCTTACAATATGCACGATAAAGTGAAAAATTATATTAAGATATTAATCAATTTTACAATATATATTATAACTTTTCAAATACATTATATTCAAGTATTATATCTGCTTGACTAGGTAATAATGCTCTCTACTGCTTATTTATTATACAAAACAAGATGTGAAAACCAAACCGGATATTGAATGCAACTTAAATGTGCTCTCTCCAAGCGCAGTAATCAAATCAAGAGAATATTTGGGATTTCATTGGTATTGACAACCATTATTGTTGTAGACAATATATTAAAATGCCAATATTTTGCCAAGCATATTTGAATCTGATGCCTGCAAGAACTGAGATTGATTAATTTTGTTGTCAGTATTTTCCATCCAGAAAAGTAATCAATATTTAATTTGCACATTTGATTTTGATTTTACTAAATCTACTGCTTATTATAATAACTTTCAGGTGCATGTAATCTATTCACTAAATAATTTGGTATGCCAATGTTCAATAGTTTTCTTCTACCTACTTGATCTAAATGAGGATGGTAATTGAGCAATGCTTCCCAACACATCTCAGTTAGATTTGGTATACATAACCATACTTTATACATAGTGTTATTCCGATCTGTTTCATTATCTTTAGGCTCTATACCGCCAAAGACATACATGCAACCAAATGATGTAACTGCAGAAGAATGGAAATAGAGTGGATGTGGTAAAACTGTTTTCCTCATAAGAGTCCATTGTAAATCTGACAAATCTAATCTCCATACATCATTAAATACATAATCCATATCAGAACCACCAGCAACAAATACTTGAGTTCCATGTGATGTATCAATTTGCACAGCACTATGACATTTCCTTGCCCGGGGAGTGTTTGAATATTTTGACGAGTTATCAGGTTTTGGAGTAAGTATAGTCCAACTTTTTGTTGTTAGATCGAACATGGGTAGCTCCTTTAGTTCATAGGCCCACTCTCCTGTGCCTCCTCCAATAATGTACAATTTGTCATCTATTCTTGCCACCTCATGCCTGTACCTGCCAAGTGGTTCTCCCTCTTCTCCTGTCCCAACAAATATTGGTTCCCAAACCAAAGTCCGAAGGTCTAATCTAAAAAGAACAATACATATATATAAATAGAGATAGAAATACATATTTATATAAATTTATCACAATTTATATTGACCGCCTCAGTGGTCTAGCGGTTTGTACACTGCCTTATTTCTAAAGGTTTGATTCCTCAGTACATTTGTTGTATGATTGTTTATATCAGTCTGTTTTCTATGTACATATATTATGTAAGTATTTACAAAAATATCTATCTCTTTATATCAGTTGTCTAGTATCCATAACACAAGCTCTGCTTAGTTTGGGACTAGATGATGTGTGAATTCTCCTAAGGTATAATTATATTATTATTATTATTTGTCTATTCATGGCTCTACAAAGTATGAGAGCAACTTCATCAAATTCACTTTCTTCCAATACATATCATGATTGACCCAGTGTAATAGTGCTATTGTTTTAGCTTTTCTCATTATACATTCAATGTTTATCATTATCATTACATAGTGTAAAATAAAGTTGCTGTCTCAGTCTGTCCCAGTTTTAAAGATTTAAGCATACATATGCTTAAATCTTTAAAACTATGCAATGGATTTTGATTTTGATACATTTTTTTTAAATAGATAGAGTGATTCTAGAGGAAGGTTTATATATATATTATATATATATACATGTACACCCGTGCGAAGCCGGGGTGAGTAGCTGGTATTAACTAAAAAATTATAACATAGTTAATTTATACATTGTTGAAGTGGATGTGGGAGGACCAGCTTAATATATCTACAATCTTCTTAAAGATTTTGGCGTGTTCAGAATTGAAGTAAGTTCTATAATACAAAAAAATGTGAAATACATAGATCTCCCTAGCTCCCACACAACGAATCCATGGTATGCTAAGAAGCTTATCTCAAGTTATAAAGTTTCATTCTTCTTATGAATAGTAAACTACTAAATATAATTAATAACAAAAGTTCAGAGCCAGAATAACCAAAACAATGCCTAAGCAAAGCAATTCTTAGAACCACTTTCTTTTTAAAAAAGGTATAACTATTTTTTAAAAGAATGCTATTCCATTTGAAGCCATAATTCAGTAGAAAAAATGAGCTAGTTACTGGTGAATTTTAAATAAATATTATAAAGAATACAAACCTAAAAATATCACAGTTATATGCATAACCATTAGTACCTCCAATAGTGTAAAAGAAACCATTATGACACAGTACTGACTGACCATATTGGCCAGGCGGTTTAGCTCCCTTTACCTCCAAGATCTCTAAATTAGCATCGCCATTGCATGTCCGCCACACAATCATGTTATTACTACATCGATTGCCAAATGGGGCCCCAGTACCACCAAAAATCTGCAATTTAATTAAACGGTAATTACTTAACATATGGCTATGGAATGAAGCACACCCTCTGACCTAATTATGAAACATTTCTATAAGGTTTAAATCAAACCAACCATTAAGTATTTGCCATTAACACACATAGCATTCGAAGCTAGTTCCTCGGGCATATTTTCTACGACTCTATGTTGCTTCCACTTTCGGCTTGCAATTGAAAAACTCCATAGTTCTTTAAATAATGGCTGCGCTGGAGTCCATGTGGGATTGTCTACATCTATATTAGTCAATGGCAATGTGGGATTATAACCACCGAAACAATAAATATTAACATCATCACAAACTATCCTGTGTCCACTGCGAGGTCGAGGACATTCTGAACCACGATATTTGATTTCAGTAACCTTAAAAGGTACAAACACATAGTCTGTTTTTTTAGGCGTGATCCCGAAATCAAAATGTAACATTTATAAAACTTTCTTGTAATTTTCTTTTTTAATATATGTATACTAGTACAATTCCGTAATTTAGGTTCTTTATTTACAACACGAAAAAAGTTATAGAAGCAGTGTCTTGTATTGTATATGTCACAGACATAGTAAATGTGCTGTCAGTCAAATCCACAGATACTCAATATTAATTTAGTTAAAACAAATAGACTGACGGCATATGACATAACATGACACGGGTCATCCAATCCCTCCTCCAGGAGATAAAGATTGGGACATGTACGCTAGACCCTCCCCTACAATGGATCCCCCGTCCAATTCAAATGGGGACCGAAATAACGACGGCCCGAATCGAGGTTCGAACCCCTTGCGGTGCCCTCAGACTAGTGAATTAAAGTTGTATCCGTCAGGCGGGAGTTGGCCTTCAGCCACTCATAAGTCCTCCCGCGGGTTTGGAGTGCCATCTGGACTCGCCCCTTATCGTCGGGCGAAGCTGTAGAGTCCAGCTGCGGTCAACAGCATTAGAGTAGTCCTAAAAAAAAGTTTAGGGCATCAACTACGCCTTGACAACTTTTAATACACTGATAAATATACTAAATTATGCTAGGGACAAACAATATAAAAAAGGACCATATTTATTATTTAAAAACTTATCGTAACTTCTTAACACTATATGGAATCACCGTGTGGGTGGAACTATTATGCAGCAAAGAGAGAAACTCCTATCAGTTTTCGGGAGTTGTGACGCAGGTGTAAGATTAAGAGGCCCCTTTGCCGACGTACGTCAACACTCACCTTCACCGTTCGTGTTTCCTTCCCTGCTCAGCCAATTCGGATAGGAGCCTGCTAGTTCAACTTCAGATACATGTTCTAGTATAAAATTTACTGCAATTCTAACAGGCAAGATCTTTTAGAAAATAATAATCAGATTTTGCTGATATACCTCGATCCCACTTCGTCCGCATATAGAATAACCACAAAGCCATTTTTCGTTAAAAAAAATATTCGTAAAAATTGTTTTGTACATGTAGATGTATCTTTAGGTAGGTATATCGGTTTCCCATGGTACAAGGAGATTTACCAGTACTATATAAGAATAGATCTAGTTTGGATGGTGAAGCACCTACTTCCTCTGAGATTTTATGAAGGTTTTCAAATGTTATAAAATCCTTAATCATTCGACTACCTCGGTTGTCTAACTGATTAGCACAACTCATTACTTTGAATGGTCACAGGTCTTTCGATAAATTAATATAAAATTAAAATCAATATAAATAATGTAAAGTCCAATATTTATTACCAGATTATCAATTTGTTTCTTCATGAAAATTAAAAAAAGGTTCAGTTTCATGACTATACAAATAAACTCTTGGCAACCTAAAGTCCCTTCAATTAAAATTTTAAAACATATATTCGATTTGCCCGCATCTGGAACTTTATATCAACACTATTTATTATTAATAAAAGAGAATATCCAGTTGTATTAATAACATTTACTTAAAATGCAATATTATCGTGATACAATACTCCCAAGCTTTGGAACAGTGTATGGATGAGAAACTATACAGGTAAACCACTATAAACACAATTTTGTCCTTTTACAGTACTTTAAAACGTTTTAGATATATTATATAATATTACATGATAAAATATGAAACACACACAACAAAAATAATTGCTCAAATTAGTAACATGATAGAACTGGACCTATTATACGAAATAACATTACTGATTAGGAGTTGTTTTAAGGGTTAGTAAATAAGACTGAAGATAATTTAATGAACTTGTATTAAATTCTATGACAATATGCTTAACACCAGTTTTAATTATTACATATTAATTAAAATGTCACTATATAGTAATTTAAATGAGTCCAACAAATGTCATTTGATGATATTATAAGCTTCATATATATATATACATATGCATACACTTTTGAATTTGAAAAACAAATTGAGCAAATCAGGTATATTTATTAAAATCTATCTAGACTGCCCTCACAATTATAATTATGGTTCCGAAATACCAATGTCAAATATTTGTCTATGTTGTTTATGTTGATAAAAATGTTTTTATCACTGACAGTTTGTATTATTATAACAATAACCAAAATTTAACATTGGCTGGTATACAAATATTAGTTAAATATACGTTTTAAAATGTGCGAACTACTAGAACCAAAATAATATCTTTAATCTACGAAAACACCGCAAGACAATTAGCTGAAAAAATATATATATGTATCTATAATATAACAATAGTTGAAATACAAACAGTAAAGATTACTTTTATTACTTACTGTTGAACGGTACGACATAACAGGATTTTACAGTCGCAGTAAACAGCGATGCAAAATGCATTGTTGGAAAACACCATGACGTTAAAAACCTTGTACAATAAGCGGTTACAATTATAAGCACCCATAGAGAAATCCATATGTTCAAGGTAAATTATAAAAGCGCCAATTTTTGTAATTATGCGGAACGTTGCATGCCCATGGAAAATAAAACTTTATGTTTATTCTTTTTGTTCTTCTTGTTCGTGGGAGAAGGCGTAGCATGAAGTGCGGCCTCTATAGCGTCACTCAAACTGAGGGTACGTGGGACAAGTCCTTCCTCGTTATCAGCCGCCGGAAGAGGAGGCGTCTGTGCAGCTGGCTTACGAACACGCCAAGCACCACTGGTGCTTGCCATCTGTATAAAAAAATACTCAATATAGTAAATATATTAAAACTGCAATACTAGTTATATATAACATTTGTTTATAAAACATTATTTTACATGCATTTGTTTGATCTAATGTTCAAAACCATTTGTTTTAGACATTCCATTTAATGATAGAATAGTACGACTTTATACTAGCGAATATATTAATTTTGACGTGGGAGCCGGGATTAAGTATTAAGTTGAGTAATGGAGGATCCATTACTTAAACAATATCAAATTAATCTATCATGAACTATAAAAAACGGTTACCTTTGCAAAAGAAGGTCCAGAAGATGGTGGAGATGCAGCACTAGAAGTTGGGATGGATTCTTCAAGCGAATGTGTTGATTCCAAAATTGGACTGATGTGTAAAGGAGCCGCAGGCGGGAACATCACTTCTGATGAAAAGTCAGGCTTAGGCGGACCTTCCATGGCGCGGCGATATGCACGTTCCCGACGTCGCTCGTCACGTTGTTGACGTGCCCGAATCCGGGCTCGACGTTCTAATTCCTCTGCAAATCGTTTTAAATATTTTTATTCATTTACATATTTCATTGGACTATAGAAATGGATAACCAATGTTCTATTAAAAGACAAAATGGTAGGAGAAAAGACTAATTACATTTAAGGAAATAAACACAAGAATTACCACTAGTAATAATTTTTAACATAACACATCAACATCTTTTTAGTGTCCTGAAAACCTATGAGGTCAGCTTATGATGTATTTATTACAATATAAACTTATAGATCTTAATTCATTCATAGTATGATGATTGATAAAGAGATAACACAAATGTTTACCTGTGAAATTCTTAAGAGCAACTGCAGTCACATGTGGTGGTTGCAAATCCAGTTCCACAATATCAAATGAACAGTGGAGAGGCAAGTGGGCAGTATAAGGCATATGCTTCCGGGTCTAGACAAATTATAAATTAAAAAATTTTTAGAAACAACATGTCTATCATGTCTTAAACGGTTTTCATTTTATTTATTATTTTTGTTAGGTTATTACTTATTAATCAAATTTCAAACAAATCTGTAATATAAATAATGAGAACTGCTTCTTAATTTTCAAATTGGACAAAATCTATTTTGAATACTTTACTGCTAATATTAAAGCAAATGTAATTTTATTATAGATAATTTGTAACATATTCTAGAACCATACGGCACTATAATAATCCCAGACAGGGCAATTGGACACATTGACAAGTGTTGTAGTTGTACCCATACTTTACTGACCATATCAACAAACTATGTCTATATAACATGTAATTACATCATCATTATATAGAAGCTGAATGAAAATTGTTATATTATATATATTTAATAATTACTTGTTCACTCAGCGACAAGGTTTCACGATGTAGTACGCGACCTCGAATAACGTGAGGGGCGGCAGATAACGCACCCCACGATGAGTTCAAAATGCGCACATTTAAACTGTTAAGAAATACTAATTGGCCATCGTCAGCTGAAATTAAACATATGTTTTATATATTTCATACTAAAAACTTACAAAAAGAAATATCTAAGAATGTTCCTAAACTTATGAATCATGTAAATTAAGTACACTTTCATGAAAATAGTATGGTACAAAAATAAGTTTATTTGCAACAATTCCTTAGTATATTATTAGTGGTGAACAGATGTGACAACTATGATAGACTATAGTTACTATAATATTAACTTGTAGTTCTTTATTACATTACAGAAAACTCGACTATTACATAGACAATAAGCAAGACTATTTTGATGTAAGATTAGCTAAGTTGGAAGGCTAATATAATCTACAGATACAATTATTTTATAAAATTATAATTACCTTGATAAAAATAAAAGTATTTTGCTTGATTTTCTTTATCAGTATCTGTCACTGTAGGGTTGCTGACTAATGTTTCTGCAATTTCTGATGGAGGCAAATTTTCAATTAAAGGAAACTCTTCAACATCTTGTACATCTTTCTCATTTATATCACTATGGATAAATGTTGGTGCATCTGGATTCAAGTTTGATGCAGCAATTTCTATATTCAATTCTTCCATTTGATCTTGTATGACTTCAATGGAAGCTGCACCATCATCAGTTATATCAAACCAGTCAATCTTATTTTTATTTACCTCTTGTTTTTCATAAACAATTGGTACCGTCTCTTCAGGGACTGTTTCAACAATATCATTCTTGTCAGGTATGTTATTTAGTTTATCCTCTTTTAATTTAAGCATATCCAAGGCTTGTTCAAGATAAACAATTTCTGTGGTATCAATTTCAGCCAATATTTGGTTTTGTATTTCCATTCTTTCTCTCTTTAATATTTCATGCACCTGTAATATAAATACAAAAAGAAAATTTATTAAATACAGAATGAAAAATATACAATTTAAATATAACTAAAATGTTAAATTATTAACAATTTATAACCTGTTTCTTTGTAGCCGTAAAAAACTTGGAATAAGGTGCGTTATTAATACTTTCAAGAGGCAATATGGGCGTCGGCATAGATTCAATCTGCTGTCCCCGAGGCGGTGCTATTTCCACTGTTGTAGAGCCTCGAAGTCGGCGAACCAGGCGCATCGTAACCTAATTCAAAAGTGAAAACCATGAATTTCAATCCTACAAATCAAGAAATATCAGCCTTTTTCTCTGTTCCAATAGTACATAAAAGGTAAATATAGAGGTCATTATAGCCATATATAGTCCAGTAATGACCAAAGAGATAAAAAAATTGGAAGTCAGTTGAATGAGTACTATTTTAACTTATTTATTAATTGAAAAATATCCCAAGTATTTGATCTTATATTATAATAATACATTGCAATGTAAGAGTATAAAGATGTATAAAAGTTTAACTATTATTTGTTAGCAAATTTGAACTGGGATGTCATACTGATTTTTTTATTTACTTTTAAGTTTGAGAGGGTCCTGCTCCTCAACCCACCCTCGGAACCACATCTGACTCTCACTCCGCTTCTTAATACAAATTTCTTAACCATCTTAAGAATTACGAATTGGGACGAAATTATTAACTAACTAAGCCTCTAGGTCATGGACTACTGTGTACTTAAAAACTTATCAAAATAGAATAGGGTATACAAAAATCAATTTAAATACATTATTCTCATGACCATGTACATACTTCTTCAGTGGGTGAATCCCATTGGATCATCCGTGTAGGTTTCATATCTTGTACATTGAGTGAAGTCGCGCACACAGGGCAGGGAGGTGGTTGTTTCTCATGCGCGGCTGCATAATGCAACACGCAGCCCCAACAGTACACATGACCACAGGGACCAACGCGTCCCGCTGCTGCAACTCCCAAACAGATTGGACACTCGGATCGACCTGTGCTCCTCACCACCTGTGGTAATATACACATACATAAGTCTTTAGAGATTTTAAACAGGCCAGTATAGTTTCCTTCATTTTTTTACAGCCAAAGATTGGTGAATGATGTGTTTAATCAGAATTTTCTAGTTAAACCCTCTTCTGCCTCCACTCTTCAATTCGTAATTAAAGGTGCAATTATAATACTTATAAGACTATTAGTAAGTTATCCATTAAGAGTTTAATGTTATTTATTTATTCCAATACTATTAATATACATACAATTTCTTCAATTTGCTCCCAATTAACAGGCACATCAGGATCCAGTATATTTGCCTTGTAGTCTCCATCTTCCTTCAAAATGAATTGGCAACTAGAACACAAAAAGAATTCACATTATTATAACACATTATAATAAGATACTGAATATATTAATAATTATTATTACATTGTAAGTTCTTTTGTTAGGCAAAAACAGTTAAACTGAGGAGGTTCTAAAAATTTAAATACTAAAAATTTCAGACAGGGAAGAGAGAGGGATAATGTGAGAGAAAAATTTTCCAAAGACTATACTGTGAGAAGTAGATGTTCATGTTAGTAAGTAATACATACTATGCACGGAGATAAAGATCATGCTCGTGTCTGTATGACACACGCTGCCCTTGTCTACGAGGCTGTGGTTGGCCACTTCTGCGATCCTGGCCCCCACGGGTGGGGTACATGAAGTTCAGCAAATGGTTCAAGTTTTGCTTTTTGCTTCCAGGCACTAACACTGAGCCAATTTCAGGCTCATCATCCTCTTCTATCCTGTATATTAATAAAGCGCACATTCAATATTTGTATTCATGAAAATAAGAGTAATAATGTTGGTAGATATTCTAGTTATATAATTTTATTGTGTAATTTGGGAATTATAGTAGTTTAACTAATGTAACTACATATCCATTTGAATTGTATTTTACTAACTCCACTTTACTAAAAAAGCTTTTCTTACGATAAATATTGATATAGATAAATGATAAATTAACAGTACTTTTGTTATATCAATAACCAGAGAGATTACATTTTTTATCAGTCACAATTTCATGGCATACATTTTTTTTCTTAATGAGGTTTTCTAAGATATCTTACTAGATAGAACACCTCTATGTCTATACATAGAATATATAATCATTATTAATATAAGAAAATGAAAATACTCACCCGGCGCTCTGCGTTCCACCCACAACGAAACCAGAAGGGCCACGAGGACGTGGTTTCCTATCAGCTGATCCTCTACCCCTCTGTGTTGATGTATTCTTACGGTACGGTTCATTTTTAGGAGCGCTATTAGGTCCCTCGCGTTTCTTATTACTGCGTGGCCAAGGTTTGTGTGTCAAGTCTAAAACGATTTTACAACAAAAATACAAATTTGTATGTAAATGAGATGAAAAAATTGTTATTTGCGACAACCAAGAGTTCGGGAAATCAAGACTAAAGTGACAGGATGACGTATGACCTTTACTCACCTGTATTTTTTTTACAGTCAATGGCAGATGCCCTTGGCTGAGGTTGAGATGATCGATTTATAGATTTCTTGTCCATTCTGGATTCCTCTAACATTCACAAAAATAACTGAGCGGGAAGCTCCGCAAGGAGACAACGATTTTACGTGCAAAGGCGACATTTTAGAAAGCCATCTTTATGATACCAAAACAAAGAAAAATCTATCTTATATACAAACAAACTTTACCAGCAGGTAAAATCACAAACGCACAAGCTTTTAAACAAAAAAGGGAGTATGGTGTACTCCCTTTCGTCGCTAACGACGAAAATATGTAAAGAAAGACAAGAAATTAGTGCGCCACTAATATGGCGACCAGCCGGTAGCCATTAGCTAACCAAGGCGAGCCAACAACAAATATTTAATGCGCACTTCCGCAGCAATAATATAAATAAATCATAGATATTTTTTATTAATATTGAAATAAATAATATTTTAATATTTAGCAAACATTTATAAAATTTGGTTATTTTTCTTTTCTATTAGTTTCATAAAAAGTTTTTGTTATGATTAGGAGTTGATCATAATGACCGACGTCTACTGTCTATGAGTCTATGATCTAACAATTTCAAAATGGCAAAAGAATTTTAATTTTTTGATTTGAATTACTAGGTTTGATTACACAACCAACGGATTATGTCATCAAACCTTAGAATTCAAAGCAAAAATAACACACAATACGTAATATTCATAGCACAATTTCAACAAACAAAGAAAAAAAGAATCGACATGTCAAATAATAGAAAAAATCAATTACGAATTTACAAAATTACCTAATTGATTAATTTAGTAATACAGTTGCTACTAATTTACTAACCAAATAAAATTGATTAAAATAGATAGGTTTGCAACATTATATTAACTATATTTGTCAAGTTTCAGGCTGGTTTGAGGTATAATATTTCTGTGCTTAACTCATTAAGCTGTATAAAAAAATATGGATGAATAGATACATTGTTGGCGCCTAACCGAACCAAATATTTATATTGGCGCCAAATTGTAATAATCATAGTGACTGGTTATTTGCTCAGTGGTATTTAATGGATAACGAAATAATTCTATACTAGCGTCAATTAAAATTATTTGATATTGATTAACCAGTATACTAATCCACAGGTACGAATAATATTGGAATTATCATGGAAACAGTTAATCTACCAACAGAAAATGCTCAAGAACCAAGTGAAGAAGCTCAGCAACCAACCGTAAAACAATTATTTTACTCGTATTTATAGAATATCCTTACATACCTACAAATATATTCTTAGAAAAAATCTACTACATGTAGTTTACATTGCTGTGTATGCATCTACCCTCTGTTAAAAATTAAAATTGTTTAAGTACTTAAAGTCTAAAAATTTGTTATTTCAGTTTGATACAAACATGTCATTCAAAAAAAGTAAAGCAAAGAAAAACAATATTAGATTTTCAACAACAGCTGAAAATCCTGTATCTCAGACAAATAGGTAATTATAAATTGACAATCGTTATACATAGTTACCACGGCTTTGTAGAGCCATTTTCACTAGGCTAGCTACGCAACAGTATTAAGATAAGTCCAAAAAAAGAGCATTGTTTGAGTTCAAAACAAGGAGAGACGGTAAGAACAAGAATACACCTAAAAGTCAAATAATGGAATAGTGCACCCACCTGCGCTAACGGCAGGGCATCAGTGGAGGATGATGAGAATGAGATCAGGTCAGTTTACCCATCATGATTAAATAACCAGTATTTAACCACGATGGTTTTCATGGATAACCGCGTGGAGGTCGACCTCGGTGGTCTAGCGAATTGGTACACAGCTTTACTTCCGATGGTCACGGGTTTGATCCCTTGCACGGTGCAAACATTTGTATTCATGAGTATTGGTCTGGGTATCTTAAGTATTTATATCAGTCGTCTACTCATAATACTAGCTCTGCTTACCATGGGACTAGATGACGCTGTGTGAATTGTCAGTTGTTATTTATTTATATTATTATTATTTAACATGGCATATTATTAACAATCCTCTTCCCATACTATATTTCAGTTATAAGGATTTCCTTAGCCAACCGGCTGCAGGTCTCTCCCACCGCGAGAGACTGCTGTGGCTACAGAGACGACGTACATCGGGCTTGTGGGTGCAATGCGACGACTGTGACCGCTGGCGGTACCTGGACCACGTCATTGACAGCCGCGAACTGCCTGAGAAATGGTATTGTCGGATGAATCCAGGTTCGTTTTATTTTTATTAATAACCAGCTGTACACGCGACTTCGCCCGCGTGGTAACTACTGGAAACTAACCTTATTTTTCTAAAATAAAAGATTTTTTAAAAAAAAAGTAGTTTTAGTCTTTATTATATCAGCTACCTGCCAGTAAAAGTACATTCAAAATCGGTCCAGCTATTTCGGAGATTAGCCGGAACAAACAGATTTTTTCAATATTACAAACAGACACTCCAATTTTATTTAGGTATATGTCTAGATAATATCTGAGTAATAGCACAGATAACATAATATTGTAATAGTGTGGGAACTCAGATAAGGATGTAAATGTTCAGTTTGCAGTTTTTTTTTTCACTGTGTTGTTTCATGCCCCTATATCCATCTCCAGTAGGTATAGTTTCCACATAACTCTTGCTATTTAATTAACAGATAATACGATCGCGAGCTGCTCTGCTCCTGAAGCTGCCATTCCGTTACGGGATGAAGAAGATCTAATCCACAGCGAGTATTCCGCTGGGTCGGTAGTGTGGGCACGCCTACCCGGTTGGCCCTGGTGGCCTGGTATGGTTGACGATTGTCCGGATACTGAACAATTCTATTGGCTGGACGGCTTCTCTGATATACCAGTGAGTTCGTTAAAAAATATCTCGCCATTCAATATAAAAGCATGGTTAAACTTACGATGCCTAATAATACCTAGTTTTTTAATAGAGCGTATATCTAAAGCTGCATTACTCCTACCAGATTTGGCTGGGCAACACGAGAGAGAGAAACACGAGCGGTGTTGACGTACATCGGCAAAGAGGCCCCTTGAACCTATACCCGGGTCACAAATATCGGGAGCTGCTCGGAGTTTCTCTCTCTGCCACACGATGGATACCGGCACCCGCACGGTGAATCCATGAAATGCTAAGGTGCTAGGTTGCTATTTCTTACACCTTATTATAAATACAATATTTCTTTTTCCTTTTACAGACATATTACAATGTCGTCTTCTTTGACTCCCTTGAAGTTACAAGAGCTTGGATAAAACCTAATCAACTAAAACCATACAGTATCAATAAGAAAAAAATGTATAATGTTCTTAAAAATAAGAAATACATGAAGCGCTTGGAAGCAGCTGCGAGGCAGGCCGAGGATGCCAATATGCTGCCATTAGAGAATCGACTGTCTAAATATAGTTTCATAAATAGATACAACGGATCAATTAATGAACCAAAAAAAATTATGAAAGAATCGTTGAAAAAGTTTACAAATCAATTAAAACGGAAACTTCACATCGAGTTGTCTAGTGAGAGCTCTTGTAGTGATTCAGAATACGACAAGACTCCACCTAAAATAACGTCTAATGAAAAATCTAATGTTACTATTTTGGGAAAGCCAAAAGAAAAAAATATTACTAAAAACAGGGTAATAAATAACAATATTGATGTTAACACAATAACACCAGAAGACATTTCCGCAGAAAGCCAACTACTGGATGACACCAATACCAGTACTTCAGCTATAATAACTGTAAATGCAAAAAATCCGCCAGATTCCATGGCGGTACAAATAGGTAACTCCCAGGTGGCTAATGATTCCAGTGTCGATGGTAAGCCAATATTTTTCATACCATGTTTAGATTTCTTCTTGAATAGTTTCTATTGGAAATAGCAAATAAACTACATTACACCATATTATGCCTTATAAGGTATGTTATGCCAATGCTAGTGCTAGTATTTATCCATGAAGCCTAATCACAATTAAAATCTGAAAGTGGAAATCTGAAAATAATATTAATCCCAACCTTGGTTTAAATAAAATAAATGTGTGTCTGACTGTGGGTGTACATGTCAAATATTTATAAATTTTAATTATGCATTATTTAAAAAAATATTAGGCATTAAGTATGGCACGTCAGAAAAATTATAGGGTACAAAGGCAAACTCGTAATATCCATTACTATCAAACTGACCTATCCTACCAGGGCTAAACAACCTGATTTAACCTTCATTTTCTTTGAATTCTGCATGCTTTTATTACATGCGTGTACGTCGCAGTATTTCATTATCATTCTTCATAAAAAATACTACAATGATGATTTCTCATGTATATAGTAAGAATTTATCGATAACTATTATCGAAGGATAATACTGACAATACGATGTAGAAAAGTGTAGAAAAGTGTAGTAAACATGTCGGTTCATATTTTATTTTATAAGTGTGCAAGTCATAAATAAATTGAGATCCACTTTATGCAAATAGTAAGTGTCGGCTATTCAATAAAAAAAATCTCTGCGTTGCACGTACGTTATACAAATTACGTAGCAGTATGACATATTTTTGATCATTTATTTAAAAGATGATCATAAATATGTTAGACATACACACGGTTAGTTACATACACCGACGGTGTGTAAATATCTAAATATATTTTGGTTTAACACTGTTACGTAAACGTATATAAAACAGATGCAAACATAATAACATCATTACTAATAAAGTTTGGATTTACGATTATAAAGATTTTAAATTTTTTAATAACCAATTATTCACCAAGCAAAACATCAGCATGTTTACCATTCTACTCGCTATATATACAAATAGATAAAGTGATCACATGTGATTACAGGTTTAGTACCAAAAATGCACATTATCAACACTGATAAAGACACTTCGGTTGGATCACCGCGCAGCAGCCGTACAGGCGAAGTCTTAGCTCACATACCGTCATCGGGTAGTGACGACTTTGAATTTTAATTTTTACTTTATGTATTTTTTTGTGTTATATTTAAAATATGCTATTTACGATTTTTTCTCTTATCCAAAGTCATTACAATAGAATTGCGTATCTGGTAGCTCTATACTTTTATTTTAGTAATAAAGTTATTGATACCGTTTCTTGTTTTTATAAACACCCCAGAACAGGGTCTGCGTCAGTGACTCTGCGGGTCTAACCTGTCTCTGCTACCGACTAGAATAGTTTACGCTATGTAATATTATGTTATCTGTGGTTTACGCCAATCAACCTGCTTTGCTCCCCATTAAAAGATGTGATAAATATAAGCCTCAGTAACGGTACCGTAGACGGTTGCCACTGGCACAGTATACTTTAAAATATCTGTGAAAATTGGCAGTTGAAAAAGGTAAAAGTGAGTTACGTAAGCAGACGACTTTTTACAAAGTCTACCTCGGTGTAATCATCTCAACAATCATCAACTTCTATATAAGCAGTTTGACTTCATACTCTATCAGTTAAATTAAATCGAAATCCAACTACACCTATTATAACTAATCTGTCACAGAAATGTCAGAAGGACTGGTACTCCATACCGTATTTTTTTATATAATCGGATTATCACAGAACCACCTGATAAAGCGGTAACCTTCGCCGATTTACATGAACATCACTATTGGTATCACGTTATCGTATGACACCGGCCGCACCACTCATGCATTGCTGTTACAGAGGATTAGGATGTCATGCCTCTTATTCCGTAATTTATATAAAAATATAAATTATTTGAAAATAGACTAAAATAAAAAGGTATGTTTGATATTATTATATTATAAAAATATGGATGTTGACTTGATGAATTCGAAAATAAGAAAATATCGATTGAAGATAATAATCGAATGAAGAATAAATAATTTTGATATTTTAGGAAACAAAAATATATGGAAAGGTATCAAGTCTATTTCTTTGTTACTATACAAAAATTAAGAGCTATATTATTCATTGACGGATAGAACAATTATTACTTCCTCCTAATTATATACTTATTTTTTTAGGAAGCTTGCCTTTATTCCGAATTAAGGGACAGAATCAAGACAATGATGATGAAGAGCAAATACTTGCTAGATTTTCTTTCAATATATTCTGGTACAGCTACGTTCCGATATCATAATATCGATGTCTCGATCTAAAGGACTTAAAATCGATGTCAACACGTTATATATTTCGAACATCCCTAATTTCCTATATAAAAAAAATCTAATTGAGCAACCGAGAATAGATCGAGGTTTTTACCTTTGATACACAATTTTTGGACAAAAAGAATAAAATAAAGTGATTTAAAACTTTAAAATTTTAAAAGTTATCAAATAAATTAATAATTGTTACCATATAACTGCGCCCATGGCGACTATATCTTTTGCCAAAAATTTGGTTAATCCAGGTAGGTCACTTTGTTTGAATTAAATAAATACTGAATAAAAAGGCAGCAGGCCGTCTTAATTACATGATATAATACTTTTGCTTTTCTTTTTTACTATACTACAATTTTTTTAAATTAATATCGTTCATATTAGTTTGGTTATCTAGATATTATGTAAATGGTGTTATTCTCTTAAATTTTGTTAATGAATGTCCTTATTAGAAGTTATTCTTAAAAAAGTATATTTTTATCTATTCAGTGACTTCTAGAAAATACTTATTAATTTGCTATAGTGTCTACTTAAATTTGTTGGTTATAATTTTTATAGGTTATGTTATTGATTTTCTATCTTTCTTTGGTTATAGCTCTTAAATTGGTCTTAAAAAACAATCAGTGTTCGCAATTAAGATGCGGTAATGGTTTCTCCGGTTTAACTCCACTGAGTATTGTACTGAAAAGGAACTATGCTGAGAAGCAGGTCTTTGAAAGAACTAAACCTCATTGTAATGTTGGAACTATAGGACATGTAGATCATGGAAAAACTACATTAACAGCTGCTATAACAAAAGGTATAGAACAATATATTAGATTATACTTGGTTACATTATATTGTGTACTCTTTTCTTTATAATAGGAGGAGAATAGTTTTTAATAAAATAGCTAAAAACTGGCTAGAATCAAAGTTAAATCTCTGAGCTCATTTTAGAGACAAATATTAACTTTGGTATTGTAATACTGATTTTCCAATAAAACAAAGCTTCCCATAAATAATAAGTGCTTTAAAAGTAGTGTAGTAAAAATATATAAAATTGATCATCTTAGAATTAATGTACAGTAGGAAATGATATAAAATAATTTTCTATAATAAAACTAGTTTAAAATCTAGTAGAAATAATATAAAATAAAGAAATTACATTAGCCTTAATACTTTGTGCTGACTTTTCTTATAACTTATTTGGTAATTGATGTAATATACATATGGTCATTCTTCAAAGTACTACCTAATAATAATAATAAATTATTATTATTCTATTGTAGTTTCTACAACCTTTATAATAATATGTTATTCTATAAATTTTTAGTATTAGCTGATATAAACTTAGCACAAAAGAAAGGCTATACAGACATTGACAATGCTCCTGAAGAGAAAGCTCGTGGAATCACTATTAATGTTGCTCATGTTGAGTATCAAACAGAACAGAGACATTATGGCCACACGGACTGTCCAGGGCATGCAGATTATATTAAGGTATGATATCACTGTTGTAACAACATGTCTAGACTCTAGTCCCATGAAACTCTATAAACTAAGTCAGTAATGTGTTTTAGAACATGATCACTGGTACTGCTCAAATGGATGGTGCTATACTGGTAGTGGCTGCCACTGATGGTGTCATGCCGCAGACAAGAGAGCATTTACTCCTTGCCAAACAGATTGGTATCCAGCATGTTGTTGTATTCATTAATAAGGTTGATGCTGCTGATCAAGAAATGGTTGAACTGGTCGAAATGGAAATCAGGGAGCTCATGTCTGAAATGGGTTATGATGGTGATAATGTTCCTGTTGTAAAAGGTTGGTAGATGTAAGGTTATAGTTTTTTTATGTAATTGGACAATGGCCTACTGTATAGTAAGTGGTAGACATGAACAGCACACATAAATTACCATACATCCCTATGTCGGAGGATGCATTAGTCATGTGTCACCATATCAGAGGATTGAGATATTATGCCTCTTAATATGTAATTACTTAATTATACTTCGATCCCTACAGTTAAAAAGTATTTCACAAACCAAGCTGCTTGGCAATTGATATAGCTGAGACTGAGATTGATACAGACAACTTCAAAATATAACAGTATAACATTATCTCTGTTTATTATTTTATATTAGACTCACATTTTCATTATACTGTTATAAAATTATTGAATAAAAAATAGATAGCAATTTTCATAAATATTGTAGCGCAAGCTTGGGATCAATAAAGATCTAAAGTAATATCCTAATAATTTTATTACAGGTTCAGCCTTATGTGCTCTAGATGATAAAAGTCCCGATATTGGAGCTGAAGCCATTACTCAACTCTTGAAAGAAATAGATGCCTATATTCCAACACCAGTACGTGAATTAGATAAGCCATTCCTCATGCCTGTGGAATCAGTTCACTCTATACCTGGACGTGGCACAGTTGTTACAGGTCGTTTGCACAGAGGTAATTATGAGTACATGGTTTTTACTCACAACTTCCATTATTTGATATATTCATTGACTGAGAAAAAAGTAATCCTATGTTTAGACAAACTTTGCTGTAACTTTACGTTTTTAAGTCAAAATGTATAATGGAAACCAAAAACCAATAAGGTGCAAAGAGGTAATAATCAAAGATTTAAACTTTATTATTTGTTTTTGAAGTTTATATATGTGTAACGGATAAACATCTCATTTTTATTTCGGAGAAGAATCATGACAGTGACGTATTCAATCCAGGCATGGCTTCTACATGCTGCTCTCTGGAATGCCCCAATCAAATGGCATTGTTGATAGGGGCCATCCTGACTGAACAATACAAGCTCAAGAGAGTTACATTATTACAGCTGATTTTTTTTTATATATAACTGTCCAACACTGTATAACAATTCGATCAGTATGAGACTGGAATGGAACACTAGTTAGTAAAATTAGCACAATAAAGAGAAATCTTATTGCCAAACTATTTCAGATCTTGATTTTGATGTTTCATTATTTCTTTAAATTTCCATTTAGGTAATTATTTGTACCTGATTGTGCTAACAAAATAAGCTGGCGTTTTACCAGAGGAAGACAATAGGTTGATCATAAGTAAAAGAAGTCAAACCAGTTACCCATTCTGGCGAACTTATATGGAATTATCCAGAATGGTTTCTAGGACGAACCTCATGGAGATTGATGTGATAGGTTACTTTGCTAGTAATTAAGCCAATAGCCTTCCTACTAACAATCTCTTGGGGGACACCCAAATGTTTTGTTATTTCATTTAGGTATTAATTTAAGCTATTATTACATTATAGGTGTACTCAAAAAGGGTACTGAATGTGAAATAGTCGGACATGGTAAGATTATGAAGACAACTGTGACAGGTGTTGAAATGTTCCACAAAACTTTGGAGGAAGCACAAGCTGGTGATCAACTAGGTGCGCTGGTCCGCGCCATAAAGAGAGAACAAATAAAACGTGGAATGGTTATGGCCAAGCCTGGTACTGTCAAAGCTCATGATAATGTTGAAGCTGCTGTTTATATATTGAGCAAAGACGAAGGAGGCCGTTCAAAGCCATTCACATCATTCATCCAGTTGCAAATGTTCTCAATGACATGGGATTGTGCATCTCAAGTGATTATTCCTGACAAAGAAATGGTAATGCCAGGCGAAGATGCAAAGTAAGTTCTGAATTCTAAATACAGTTTAAATAATTATTTAGCCTTCTGCAACATAAATAAATATATTTCTTTATTATTTACTAGCAGTACATGCGACTTCGTCCGCATGGAATTTAACTTTAGTTTTCTAAAATAAAAGTAGCCTAAGTTACTCTCTATTACATAACCTACCTGCCAAAAAACGTCCCGTCAAAATCGGTTCAGCCATTTCAGAAATTAGCCGGAGCAAACAGACAGACAGACAGACAAAAATTGTGAAAAATATTTTTTTTGTTGTATGTAGTACGTAGTAAAAAACGGTTATTTCAATATTACAAACAGACACTCCAATTTTATTTATATGTATAGGTTACGAATTAAATCATCTTGATGTACTATTTATGCCATATTATTTTACGCATTTTTTATATTTATGATTGGATCATGTCATATCATTTACGTTAACTATATTTTTGATATTCTTATTTCACTTGGTACATCTAAATACTAAGTGGCAAGGTATGGGTTCACAAAAATTGTTCACATTAATTTGGTTTGTTATTGGTGTTTCCATTACTGGAGAGAGAGTCAGAAATATAAATGCACTTTTCGATCTCTACTTGAACATAAATGTAAACTATTGGGCCACAACTATACTATATTAGTACTGTTATATGTATGATTTTTGTTTTTTTATAGGTTGAATTTAAAACTCCTAAAACCTATGGTATGCGAACCTGGCCAACGCTTCACACTGAGGTTAGGTGATTTAACCCTAGGAACTGGAGTTATCACCAAAATTAACAATAATTTATCTGAAGATGAAAGATTGACACTCTTAGAAGGCAAGAAGGCTCGAGAAAAGGCCGCAGCAAAGAAGTAAATTATGTAATTGGATTTAATTTTAAGCCTAGTCGTGTAGTTCACATTATTATGTTATGCATTTAAAATTGATTAAAATCCTATAAAAAAAAACGTGTTTTATTGTTCCAGTGGTATATGGAATAAATAGAGTGTTCATTTGTAACAAGTAGTAGACAGTATTAGGTGGTATTAGCGCACTATGTATATAACAAACTATATTTACATTTTTCTTCTGTAAATAGATATGGCGCATGTCGATGTCCTACTAAAAAAGCAAGTACGTAACTCAGTTTAATCAGTAATAAATTCATTTTTCACATTCATTTAATTAAATATTGATATGTCTTCTTAGTGAATGGCATGTTATTAGAACTAATGAATAATAAACAAATTCTGTCTTAAACTGTTATTTTATTTTAAAAACTAATATAGCATAACCGACTGGTTCATAAGGACTTTAGAAATAACATCTATTCACTCTAACTTCTTAAGGCGACGTTTAGCTTAGGGTACATGTCTACTTGTATGAACTACAGAACTCACATTTCCTTTCACTTTTCATATTCTTTCTTACATCCCAAATCGACAAACAATTCTTTATATTCTGTAATAATAACTTGCTCATATGGTCCATTACTATATTCAGAAAGGATTATTTTCAATTTTGCAACAGACTACAATTCATTAATATTACACGAACATTCACAATCTACTGCTTCAGTGTTACATATTTTAACCGCCAATTAACTATTTTTGTATAGGTTGCGAATAGGCAGTGAAGTAACAGAATAAGAGGCATACAAAATTCAGGTAGACTGAATAGCAATGCATGAGTGATATCACGAGTGTACACATGATAATGTAGTGCTGTTCGTGTATATGAGTGACGTATGTAATGAAATTTAAAACCGAAGTTGTGAAATAAAATTAATGAGAACTATTCAAGTTTACGTTGTGTCTCGGTGGTTTAGAAAAACGCCTTACTATCATTATTATTACATATGACTTGTCTAGTACCTACAAAACAGGGTCTGCTTAGCTAGATGGCGCTGTATGAATTCTATAATTATTATTCAACTTTATAAATTGATTTGTGTATTTTTAAACAAACTACCATAATACTCAATTCTTTTTTTAACTACAGCTAGTTAGTACGATGTACGTTGTTAATCTTAAACTTTTTTTAGGTTTAAATAAAATAAAAAATCTCTTTGTTTTTATTAAAAAGTGTCACCACAATTTTATTATGAAATATTGTCAGTCCTTGTTTAACAAAACGATACAATTTCACTGGAGATAGGGCTCAATACTATGTACACATAGCTGCTGCCTGTAAGTTTGGATGTACTCAGAATATTATTCACAATGTAACAGTTTATGCACTGACAAAAATATTAATTCAATGATTTGAATAGGTAACAAAAGTAAAGAAAACAACGTATTTAAGAGGTATTACAATTGCCTGAATAAATATTATTTATCAACTAGTTCATATTTTACACACTCCATATCAAGAAGCAAATTAAAATTACTTTTTATAAGGATACAAAGAACTGTTATTTATGGTTATTAAATCAGATATAGTATTGAAAAAGAATATTTTTTCAAACCATGTTTTTTTGATATGGTCAATGTTTATATTTGTGATGTGATTGATATTTGTCTATAAACACATTCAAATATTATGGAACATTAATTATCCACATTCTTTTTTAACATTGTAATGTGTTATAGAACAATTAAGGTTTATATTTAAACATAGTGTACTCTTTATTACCAGAGCCTAATGGAATGAAAAATTATGACATTTTGTTATAATTGATAACTTCAGTTTATGCAGTTTTCCTTTAAGTTGTATTTAAGCATTTACTTTATTGTTAAACAAAGAAAGTTAATTAAGATTATTTAGATAATACTCTGCATTAAATACAATGTCAATGGAGAACTTGCATTTAGAAATATACATGTATGACATATCAATCATATTATTAAGAGGGCACTGAAATTTTGTTGTATACATTATTTTTACAAGTCTTCATCCTCCTCTGGGAGAGCAGTGTCTTGAGCTTCCTTGAGATCTTTTTCGATTTGGTTCACCAGTTGTGGGTCCATTGTAACCTCTGGTGGCACCAGAGCAGGCATAGCCACAAACTCTAAGTTGCCATCACCAATCAATTTTCTTGCAAGCCACAGGAAAGGCTTTTCAAAATTGTAGTTTGATTTAGCAGAGATGTCATAATACTGAAATAGATAAATAAGTAATATTGAAATTTATCTACTTTAATTATTTTTATCTAGAGTTTGTTACAGTTATTAGCCAAAAATAAAATTAATTTTATATCAGAATAACAGTAATAAGAGTTTTGATTTCCCATAAAGGGAAATGTGGTCACAGTCTTGAAACTATATAATTAGATTAGTCCCGGAGATTATGTTCCAAGTAGTAAATATAGCTTTAATTTTTTTAGACAACATCAACTTGTTTTGTATAGACAAAAAATGTTATAGATTAGATAACAAATACAACCCACTATAAAAACAAGAGGTCTCTCAGTTTGATATTCATAACATAGTTAGTAGTTATAAATAAAGCTTACCTGAAGGTTCTTTTTCCTGTGGAAAACAATTGTTTTTGCCTTGACTTTTCTGTCTTTAATGTCTACTTTGTTGCCACAAAGCACAATTGGAATGCCTTCACATACACGTACCAAGTCCCTGTGCCAGTTTGGTACATTTTTGTAAGTGACACGAGAGGTTACATCAAACATTATGATAGCACATTGACCTTGAATATAGTAACCATCTCTTAGGCCTCCAAACTTTTCTTGACCAGCAGTATCCCAAACGTTAAATCTTATAGGACCGCGATTTGTGTGGAACACCAAGGGATGCACTTCGACACCTAGTGTGGCGACATATCTTTTTTCAAATTCACCAGTCAAATGTCGTTTTACGAATGTAGTTTTGCCAGTGCCACCGTCGCCAACCAGGACACATTTGAAAGTGGGCATATCAGCGTCCGTCATTTTTGTTTATATTTTATTTCTGAAAACAACAGATATCATAAATAGTAATAAGTAGTGCTCATGTAGTACGAGTAACGCAATGATAAATTGTTAACGCAAGAATTTGCAATACTAAAAAAAAATAACTGAGAAATGTTTAAAGTAAATTAACAATCGCAAGAATGACAAGTTAAATTTAAGTTTTCACCGAATGGCGCTCAGACAGCCTCATAGGAATTTAGCTCTATAGTACCGAACATTACATCAAATTACAATCAAACTACATGAAATTTGTTACAAATATGGATACACAAATCATTATTACAACATATTAAACTAAATTAATAAAAATCTGAATGCTATTTACCAAGATTGCTTAAGAAAATCCAGATTAAACCTTCAACAGAAAGAAGTCGTTACGGCTCACAATGGCGTCACTTGACTAAACGGAAGATTTCTTTGACAACTACTGGCGCAATGACAGTTGGAGTCATAACACTGTCTGAATAAACCAACAAAATCAACGATGTTAATATCAATCTTGGATATATTTTACTAAATTAAATTGGTTATACCTTTTTATATTATTATAAGATATATAGAAAGTTATAAACACAGATGAAATTATTGTGATAATAATTGGTAGTGATTGTGACTATACTGCTTTACCGATCTAGTCTCTGACGTCAAAAATGGTATGAACAATTGCGCCATCTACAACTTTGGTATTCACATTCACACCAGACATGAGATGGCTAGTAAAGTTTCGTTACTTTCGTATGTATCGATTTTTTGAGTGAAGTGAACGTAGTGTTCGTGTCCTTTAGTTTAGTGACGTTTGATAGAAAAATATCTGTGAATGGGATTGTGTAACAAGATAAAACGTTTATTTGGTGTGTGATTTTCTGTAGAGGATGACGAAGGACAGGTTAGCGGCGCTTCAGGCGGTAAGTTGGTTTTCATCTTATTTCTCAACGATGCTCATAGCACGGGACTCATTGATGACCTCGAACCCACACTGGAATTACGTAGGTGTGTACCGAAATTGTAATTAATTCTCCTAATATTTCTTAATATCCCTTTAGAAGAACAAGGGAAGGTGAACGGTGTTCAGGTTCAATGGGATTCTTATGCCTGGTCGCCCCACCCCTGATTTGACACCACTTGAATGATAGCTGTCATTGAAGCGAGACAATTTGTTGCGTTCCGCACTTTTGCGATATAGGTAGCTACCTACTTATCAGTCAAGTCCATTGTTATTTGGTGTAAACCTTACAGAACATTTCACAGTCGGTTAACCGCAAGAAACAATGCTTACTCAATTTTATTGTGAAAACGAGTAATTTTAGCTTTACCCTTGTAGTTAGATAATTGCACCAAAAGTTGTATTAACCAAAAGAGGTACTGCAAAGTAGTAAGTACTTATACACAGGGTTAAAAATACAGACTAGTTTTATTAATACATGTTAGAAAATCCAATGCTAATTTATAATTATTAAAGCATTCAATACAAATAATTCAATCATCAAATTATTTTTTATTGACTTTACCATAAAAGGAAAATCTTTATATGTACAGTTATATTGATTTTTTACCATACAATTATCATTAGTAGAATAGTAGAAAGATGTAGTATACCTATTGACCTGCTTATAAAGACTATACAAATCAAAGGGAACTTAGAATAACATGGGTAATTTGTGCTGCCCGAGGAATTTAAGAAACCACTTGGATTGCAGAATAAAAAATATATATTGTATAGATATAAAGAAATTTATGTAAAAAATATGTTGTTGTATAGATATATAGCAATTTATTTAATTCATAGCATACATAAGTTCTTTTTCTCATAAATTAGGAATTACTTGATCTCTGCAATTTTACCAATGATTTTTTTTTATTTTATGAGCCATTAAGTACTACAAATATGGTATAAGCTTGTAAATTGTGTCCTTTCCTATTTATTATTATTATTTAATTTAGCAAATCACTTCACAGTAGTTTTTCTTCATAATTTTTTTATTTGTTGTCTTTGTAATTGGAAGAAGTTACATACAAAATATGAAAATATTTAAAGTCTTAAGGAAAACTTAAGTATATAAATATTATTTATAGATTGATGTTCAATTGTAATTTTATTAATATGTAAAGAAAATTGTAATTCAGTAATGGAAAATAATATAATTTTCTTTTGGCATTGCAAGCCTGGGCAGCCAGTCTCTTTAATATAATTTTAATTGCTTGTATTAGTTCGATAAAGTGATACAAAATATCTACTTATATAGTTACTTTTAAAAATACATATTCAATTTATATACTTAAATGTTCATCATCTGGTTCTGCCTTATACCACTTATTTAGAGTAAGTGTAATATATTTTTCTATTCCATTATTAGTTCACATAATAAAATGATGAATTTTACAATATCATCATTTACACAGTCCTGGATGGACTTCTTTTTCAACCTGAATATTTGAATGATATCTAGTACAAATCTGGAGGTGTTACTTATAATATACTATTTTACAGACATGAGTTACACTCACATACATCTTCCTTTTTTTTGACACTTTTATTATTTTTAGATATTTATATTTACTGACAACTTTGAACTTAGTTTGTAATCAGTAATCACTTTAGTACTCTGCTAGTTATCAGCTGACGAGGGCGGCTTCCGGCGGCCGACCTTCGTTTGAGTTGACTCATAAAAACATTCGCCGTCATACTGACATCATTCATCACTCTTGACTCTGGTCCTTAAATATGAGGGAAACTTGAGATGAGATTGTACATCGCGATTGTAGTGATTAGAATTTACGAACGTTATACAATACATACCTACTATATTCTTTGGAATAAAAAGTGTTCCAATATTTTTAAAAACAACAAAGTAATGAAATATCTATTATTGTTGATACAAAGAGAAAGTTTTCTCACGAGCAGCGAGCAGTCAGTTTATTGGCTATAATTATTAATCGATAAGTATAAATAAGTACATCATTTTGCTATTTGCAGCTAGTGCAAACTTATTTTATAAAATTTCAGAAATTGCATGATTTCTTTGTTGTCGTCAAGAAAAATTAAGTAAATGCAGGTATTAAATAATAAATCAGTATTCATTTTAGTCTATCGGCTATTAAAAACACTTATCATGACGAAAGTTTAACCGGATTTTACTTAGAATAGAAATATGTAAATATACACCACAAGTTACTAACTAAAATTTTCGAATTTGCATTTAATAAGATCAAAGAACGTCTTACATAGGTGTTTTATCTTATCTACCTCAGCATTAATATACTTTTATACTTACGTACGTATCTATTGATAATAATAATTATGTTTATGCATAAATCTTCTAGCGGTCTAAATGAATCGAATCTTTAATTGTATTCCTGTATATACTTATATTCCTATTGAAATTGGAACCTAGTTACTTTATAGCAGTATGATAGTACCTATAATATGACTTGTAGACCGACTTCGTTATAAGGAACTTGTTTTTTACTTCGGTATCTCTTGGTATTATTATGTATAGATAGTAGGGATTATCATATAAAAAACAGACTATGGAATGCATCCATTATACACTCTATTGAAACATAAATAAATATCTATGTGAATAAAAATCGTGTATCTTTCGTATTGCAATTATTTATAGAAATAAGAAAAAACAAATAAAAATTCAGTGCTTGTAGTGGTATTTAGATTATAACTGAAAATTTACTGAAAGTTTTCTCATAGAACAAAATCATAAAACATCGGATCTCTGTTCTATAAGCTCTGCTGCAGCTCACTATCTAAATATATATACATATGTACATTATGTGAGAATCGCGGTGTAAACCTATTTATAATTTGGTTACTGTTTTATTTAGACAATATATTTGTTCTATTTTTATTTGACGTTATAGAGTGACTCTGTCTGGTTCTAGGTTGTATTGTTGTACAGAGATGGCAATTGTCTCATATGAAAGTGGAATCTTGTAATTTGCAGTACTAAAGTCGTTGCTAGGCGCATGGTTTAGGCGTGGGTATACATACTCCAAATCAATTAATTTTGGGGTGAGCTAATATGGGTGCGCCCTCGTCTGTGTATTTTATTTTTATGTTCTGTATATTTAAATGTGTAAAAGTCCTGCATCAAATATCCTTGTGCCAGATGTCGAGTTGAGAACTTTCTGTACACTCTTGTTATTTTTGTCATGAATTATATTAACTGGAGGAAATATTATTAATATATTTAGGTCCAATAATTAAATAACAAAAGGAACTCCTTCGGAGATTGTGAGACATATTTGTCAGGTTAAAATATGTTTCGTTTAAGTCTTCAAAGTCATATTTCAATTGCAATGACCATTACCATATTACCTTTTATCCGTAATGCTAAGTAATACGTGCCTTGTGTAGACCTTCACCAATTCACAGATTATAGCAATATATTACGCAAATACCCTTATTTATATGAAACTATCTGTTACCCGTTGTAGTATAAAGGTAAAGACAGACAAGCGTCTTTCGCACTATATTAAATATGGATTAAATGTGTCTCCACTACTTTCATAGATATTAGAATATATATTTATTCTACATTAAAACTTCATCAAGAGGCTTCACATCCTAATCTTCAGGAGTGGTAAATGTGACAGACACAGTCTGATAGCAGTCACGGACACTATATCTTTTATACCTTTAGGCGATATATACTCACTATTCGAAATATTTGTTTTTCCTTATGTATGTTGATGTAAAACTATTACAAGTTGGGAAACACTATTAAGTTGTTAATAATGTATAGAAAAGTGTGCCTTCAAACAGTGAAAAAAAAAAATCAAATTGGCGCAGTGATTCCGGAGTTAATTATCTTAACAACATCCATCATTCTCTTTGAAATATGCGTAAAGACAGTATAGGTGCGTTGTTTAATATTTGCACTGGCATTCCCTATGCATGTGTGTACGATAGAGATTACACGAGCGTTAACGTACAACAATAACATTAATTACTATGTTTAACTGTGTCAGTTATCAACTACTCTCATGAGTGACGATGTATGTAATAATCGTCTATACACATGGTTTAAAGGAAAATAATGGATGTTGTTAGGAAACTGAAGTCTGGGGTCACTGTACCACTTTGAGAATAGTTTTCCCTGTTTGAAGGTACATTTTTCTAGAGTTACATATGCAGTATAGATTTTAATGTATACTAAGTTCAAAAAGGTATTAGAACTCAATTGTGTTTTACAACTCCGCAGTATTTTAGTTTCAGTCGTGATGAATCAATAAATAATATTATTTTTTATAATAATGTTTATTATAATAGATAAATATTTCCGGGGCAAATATACACACAATTAATACAATGTACTCTGTTTGGTAATAGTAATGTTATTATTAGAATAATAACATTTGATAAAATCCTTTTCACAATAATGTAAAATTACATACCTACCTAAATACTAAAAAATGAAATCGTATAACATATTTCTAATATCAGTTGTGCCATGGAACAATAATATTTTCTAGATAAGGTTCAATTGACATTACGTAATTTCTAGCGGCTCCCGATAAACAACCTGAACAAAACTACAAATGAATTTGCGCAGTAGACCCTTTCAATATTGATAAGCTGTTGACTATTTTAATATTACAAATTGTTATTTATGTAATATTAAAATAGTCAACAGCTTATCAAATAACTTGATGATGTCTCATGTTCTGTGGAGGAGCTAATACCATTGAAGGTGTTTCATATGAACATGAATGGATGTAAAGGGAGAAGATGACTGGACGTGAGAAGGAGCGTAATGTCGGTTATTTCCAATAGAGAGAGCAGTGTAGAAGAAGACGCCGAACTGCGTCGAGTAATGGCACAAAACGAGCGTATAAAGATCGTTTTTTTCTTAGCTTTAAAATACTATATTGTAGTAAGCAAATAAGAATT